AATGTCTAGTTACTGCTTTCATCCAGGCTCCAGAGTGGTATTGTTTGTGCTGTTTGATTTTGGCTTTGGAACAAGCTATCAGGTCATTCAAGCTGGCCTCAAACTTGCCACATAGCTGGGGATGACCTTGAAGAGGGCACCAGATCTCATTACAGATTGTTTGTGAGCCACCATGTGATTGCTGGGAATTGAACTCAGGACCTTTGGAAGAGCAGCCAACACTCTTAAACACCCAGCCATCTCTCCAGCCCCAACCTTGAACTTCTATCTCTTAGGTGCTAGAATTACAAACATGCACCATCACCATCACATACTGGAGATGAATTCAGGGATTCTGCATGCAAAGCACTCTGCCAACCAAGACAGCACTCCTAATGCCAGACTAGTGAACTTTTTAAAAATTGTGTGTGTGTATGTATAAGTGCATGTAACTGTCTGTGGAAACCAGAAGATTGCATGCATCAGGTCCTTGGAGCTGGACCGTGGTGACTGTAAGTCATCCAGTGTTGGTGCTGGAAACTGATCTCTGGCTTCATAAAAGCAGTAAGTGTTCCTTACCACCGAGCCATCTTTCTAGCCCCAGAGTGGTGTTCTTAACTGTAAGACATGTGAGAATTTGTAAAACATTGGTCATTTCATCTTACACTTGACTCCTTCATTTTCTCTGCCTAACAGGCCTCCTGGCTAATTTTAGACCTTTTGAACATTTTGAACCTGCTTTAGCATACTCTTCTTCCAGTTTGTTAAACATGTTATTCTCTTCCTTCAGGCTCTGCTCTGTGACCTTACAAAGAGGCCTTTCCTGTCCTGCTGAATTCCTATCTCTCCAGCACTCTACCTGCCCAACCCTCACTTTCCTTAGTTTTTCAGCATATTATTGATCCCTATTGTTATTGTATATTGTTTACCATGTTGTCTTTTTCATTAGAATATAAATGCAGACACCTAATGATCTCTCCCTTGCCTCCACTGCTGCATACCCAGAGCCTAAAAAAATATCTGACATATAATGCATGGTCAATATAATCTGTTGCCTAAACTGACAGGCCCAGCATATGACTGGTGGAACCTTACTAGACAGTATAAAGACAAACACAAGATAAACATGAGATGACACTAATAGACCCAGAGACTATCTCTTCAGTATTTTAATCCTTCATCATTGCAAGGTCTCTGTTAGTGCTGGGTTGTCTCTACTACCTTCTCATCTTTCATAACTGGAAGGTGGGCTGTAGATTCACAGCCTATTAAAAGTCTTTTACAATCCTAAAGTAAAATAAATAAGCAAATGAAGTTGGGTGAGAGGCAGAGGCAGGTGGATCTGTGAGGCCAGCCTGCTTGGTCTAAAAGAGCTAGTTCCAGGACAGGGACCAAAGCTACACAGAGAAACTTTCCTTCAAAAAAAATAATAAGCAAATGAACATATTTTTAGAAGAAACAAACAACATAAAAGCCTTTTACACAGAACATTATGATTAGAATTTAGTAATCATGTCTTATTTTCACTCTGAATTTGTGTGTGTGTACACAAGCCATAGCTCCACCAGTACTGAAGGTCAGAGGACACCTGCGGCAGCTGGTTCTCTCCCCACACCATGCAAGTCTGGAGGACTGAACTCAGATATCAGGCATGGTGACTGAACCCCCACCTGCTGAGCCATCTCACCAGCCAGTTAAGAACATCATTTTATCATGTGGCTGGCAATATGTTAATCTCATGGAAGTCTCCCCACAATTCTAGGAGGAAAGAATAAGTTTGCAGATGAAGAAACTGTAGGTGAATCTCACATAAGATCCAAAGCTTCCTCCACCCATATAAACTTGCTATTTTATTAAAATGTGTAATTCAGTGTCTTAGTATATTTATGATGGTGTGTAACTTATCTTTACTACGTAATTGCTCATGAGAACATGCTCATCCCCAGAAAAGCCAAGGACCTTTGCTTATCACCTCGAATTCCCCTCATAACTAATCTGCTTTCAGACTCTACATAGTCACCTTTTCTAGACACTGAAAATAAACGGAAGTGCACTGTGGTTTTCTGTGATCTCTCTCTCTCTCTCTCTCTCTCTCTCTCTCTGTATGTGTGTGTGTGTGTGTGTGTGTGTGTGTGTGTGTGTGTACTGGACCTATAGCCTCTACAAACTTTACATTTGAAGAGGAATATAAGTTACAAACTCGCCATTTGAAGAGGTATATATGTTACTGTTCATTTACAGTTCCCTAATGATCAGTGTATCGACCATCATCTCACTTACTTATTGATCATTTGCGTATCTTTTTGGGAAGCTCTGATGCAAGTCCTCTGATGCAAGCGAAAGAGAAGTTACAAAGACCCTAGAAGCAAAAGAGCCTCTTTCTCAAGAGCTGAGAATCACAAATTCAAATACAATTAGCAACTGCTTGAGGCCTTTCTCCTTTCCCACCTGTAAACGCATAATTTTCTAGGGCATCAGAAACTCCAATTATAGTAAAGAGCATGTCCTAACTCCTTGTACGATACTAGCGGCTCCTGGTTTATCAGATTGTAATCCCATCCAAGGCACTTCCGAAACATCCTATAATCTCATTTATAAGCTTTCCTTTTCATTTGCTATAACTTCAGAGCCACTAAGAGTTAAGTTATTCTTAACTCCTAGGCCTAAAATCTATGCTAAAACTGTATTTAATAAAGTGTGTTACTTTTTGAGAAGCCCACACCCATGCTCTTGGGTGAGCTTTACTTTTCCCTTGAGTGTGTCTATCACCCCTGCCTAAAGGGTTCCTCTGTGTAGCCTTGGCTGTCCTGGAACTCACTCTGTAGACCAAGATGGCCTCAAATTCACAGAAATCCACCTGCCTCTGCCTCCCAAGTGCTGAGATTAGGGCTTGCACTACCACCTCCCGGCTTTTTTCTTCTCTCTCCTTAAACGTTTATTTATCGGGGTGGGGCCCTCATGGCACACGTGTAGAAGTCAGGGGCAACCTGTGGGAGTCTGTTCTTCCAGCATGTGGGTTCTGGGGATGGAATTCCGATGGTCAGGCTTGGTGGCAGACACATTTTACCTACTGACCCATCTGTCAGACCTTTTTTTTTTTTTAATAAACCACAACATGCTTTATACAGGCCTGTCCCAAACTTTTTCCTGCATCCAAGCCTAGAATCTGGTTTTACCTTATTCATTGTTCCTGCTGATAGGGACAGTGTGGCACCATGTCTCTGTTGTTGGTGCAGTCACTAAAACCTTAACTAAAAAAAAAAAAAAAATTAGTTGGAGGCGGGGAGGGGAGCCCACAGGGAGAGTGTATGTACATATCATTCATGTGGTGTCACAGTATCCTTGGAGGCCAGACTGGAGTGTGCGAGTCCCTGGAACTGAAGTTACAGGCAGGCAGGCATTTGTGAGTGGCCTTATATAGGTGGGTGCTGGGAACAAAACTTGAACCTTTTGGAAAGGCAGGAGTTAAACAATGAGTCATCTCTCCAGCACCTTGCTTTAAAATCAAAATCAAAACAAATCAGTTGTCTCCTTTTGTTGAATTTCCTTTTTGAAATGCTGTGTTTGAGCCGGGTGGTGGTGGCGCACACCTTTAATCCTAGCAGAGGCAGGTGGATCTCTGTGAGTTCGAGGTCAGCCTGGTCTACAGAGCAAGTTCCAGGAGAGGCTCCAAAGCTACACAGAAAAACCCCATCTCCTAAAAACAAACAAAAATATTTCATTTGGGGCTACTGCGACGTTTTAGAGGGCAGATATTCGCTGCCAATCCTGGTGACCTGAGTTGGATCATAGAACCCACGTGGTGGAAGAACCAGTTCCTGCAAGTTGTCCTCTGACCTCAGGTGTGGCACATATGCTCCCGCCCCATACACACGAAATAAACTAACTTATAAAATGTAACCTTTGAAACACAAAGAAAAAACATGAAATACACAATAGCGCAGTAAGCCAACATAAAAATGCAATATAAAAACTACAGACAAGGCTGTGGGCTATTTTCTAATTACAGCCCAGCTTGATTGCCGTTTGCAGAAACCAAGCAACATACGATACTCATCTTTAATCCCAGCACTCTGGAGGCATAGGCAGAGACAGTGGATTTCTGTGAGTTCCAGGCCAGCCTGGTCTACATAGCAAGTTCCAGGCCAGGATTATATATAGAGATTCCCATCTCAAAAATAAATTCCGCTGGGCAAGGGTGGCGCAGATCCTTATTCCCAGCAGCCGGGAGGCAGAGACAGGAGGATCTCTGTGAGTTCGAGGCCAGCATGGTCTACAGAGTGAGTTCCAGGACAGGCTCCAAAGTTAAGAGAAATCCTGTCTCGAAAAATCTAGAAAAATAAAATTAAATAAATTCCAAGCAAAAACTTCCATGCAAGAAGGGAATGGGGAGCACTCGGGAGGCAGAGGCAGGCGGATCTCTCTGTGAGTTCCAGGCCAGCCTGGTCTACAAGAGCTAGTTCCAGGACAGGAACCAAAAAAAAAAAAAAAAAAAAAAAAAAAAAAAAAAAAAACTACGGAGAAACCCTGTCTCGAAAAATCCAAAAAAAAAAAAAAAAAAAGAAGGGAATGGTGACAGATAATCTCTTTAGTTCTAGTTTCTCTCACTTTAAAACGGTAATCAACTCATAGTCCCATGCTTGACGCAAAGTACTTGAAAGACCGAGCAGCTAACGCAGCGCCAGCTACGGCTACGCCCTCCACAGAGGTTACCTCGGGACAGGTGACCCGCCGGCAGTCCTTCCTGTTCCGGTTCAGAACGCAGCCAACCGCGCACAGCTTTATGCGCACACTCCTCTCAAAACGAGCCCACCCCGAGCGCGGGAGAGCCGTGACCCCAAGGTCTGACTTCCGTTTCCGGGTTGGCAACGCGGCTTCCGGCGGCGTGCGCCGAGCGTGCTCGCAGGTACGGCCGCCGGAAGGGTCTGTGCTTGCAGCCGGTAACTGGCCCGGGTGGGAGTGGCCGGGTAGGCGGGATGGAGGGAGGGCGGTGGCGGCGGTGACTTTGTGTCAGTTGGGGCCGGGATGGAGCCTCTGGCTGGGCTTCATCGAGGGTGGGAGTGGGAGACCAACTTCCCTTCCAGCCTGAGCCACCTATATCAAACGCTCCAACCTGTAGAAGGTGGAGGTCTTTAAACGACGGCCAACGGGACACGGTGGTTATCTCTGTGGCCTGTCCTTGCTACAGCAAAGGGATAGCAAAGGTGTTACTTAAGTTACAACCCCTTTGTAAATCAATTGGGAGGTGTGGGACTTCCATCACGGTAACCTTTCTTCAGCCCCTTCTATCGACACAAACTTACCGGAAGTTTGTTTTATTAACTTCAGATATTTCCAAGACTGGATGCACATCATTGAATCTCAGCGTCCTCTTGTAGCGAGCTTTCAGATCTTTGTATTTTAGATAGGGGAAGTTGAGTTAATCGTTGTTAAATTCACACTGCTCGCTGGACTAGAGGAAGGAAAATAGACACTCCACCCACACATTCAAATGTTTGGTCCTGTGTTATTCTCATTAAAATCTTCCAACTTTGAGAAAGATTCGTTTCCAGCTTGAGGCTATGCAGGATTAATTTGCTTTAGGGTCATTTGGACCTGGGAGTGTGGGAGGCAAGAATTCAAACGCTCAGAATCGCCAAAGCCTGACATTCTGAACTGGCAGCCGGAAGGACAAGAATGGAGGATTTCTGTTTTGTTTTTTATTTATTTATTTATTTATTTATTTATTTATTTATTTATTTATTAAAGATTTCTGTCTCTTCCCCATTTCCGCCTCCCCTTTCCCTCCCCCTCCCCCAATCAAGGATTTCTGTTTTTATGTTAACAAGTAATAGTTGTAAGATGGATGGTGCTTGCCCCCACAGGTGACCCCCAAAGCAAACACTGCACGCCGTGGAAATGCTTTGTGTCCTTTCCTCTTACGTGCCCATATATTGCTTGTTTAATCATGCCTCACTGCCTGCAATCCATGCCTTTCTTTATACGATACTTTTAATTCTAGTACATACATTTGAAATAGGAAAAGAGACTGGGAATTATTTATGTTTTGTTTTTGATTTTTCTTTTCTGTATTGCCTGTAAAGAGGCATTAGGCCTTTTAGAAATATTTCCGCCATGTCTGACACTCAAGAAGCTACCAACCAACTCCTGGATATGAACCTTCATGAGGAGAGCGAGAAGCCTGTGCCCACAATGGAAGGTGGCATCAGAAGTGAGTCTGAGCATCTCCAGGTCACTATTGGAGCCACTGTACCCACTGGCTTTGAGCCAACAGCTGCAGATGAAGTGAGAGAGAAACTGAAGTCACCATGCAGAATCAGCAAAGACCGGGGCAAGATATATTTTGACATTGCAGTGGAAAGTCTGGCTCAGGTTTGAACAAAATGGTGTTTAAATTAGTCTCTTAACTTGTTGGGTTTTTTGTTTCGTTTTGATTTTTGCTTTTTTGCTTTTTGTTTTTTCGAGATAGGGTTTCTCTATAGCTTTGGAGCCTGTCCTGGAACTAGCTCTTGTAGACCAGGCTGGCTAAAACTCACAGAGATCTGCCTATCACAGCCTCCCAAGTGCTGGGATTAAAAGGCATGTGATACTACTGCCAGGCTAACTTGATAGTTTGTTTTTTTTTTGTTTTTTTTTTTTTTTTTCAAGACAGGGTTTCTCTGTAGCTTTGGAGCTGATCCTGGAACTTATTCTGTAGACCAGGCTGGTCTTGAACTCACAGAGATCTGCCTGCCTCTGCCTCCCGAGTGCTGGGATTAAAGGCATGCACCACCAACACCCAGCTACACTTGGTTATTTTTTGGTTACTTTTCTAGTTTGTAGACTCCCTTGGGAGTCCTTTGCTTTGGTCTGCTCAAAGTATCACCAAGTTTTCTGTTGGTATACTGATTTGTGAAATTGACTGTATGTTTTAGTGTACAGTTAATATTTATAATGTCTTTATAATGTATATTCAGCTTAGTACATTTTAGTGTGAGTTTTACTCTGGTGTAGAAGTGATCATAGCATTTCCTGATGATTGATCACCAAAATGAAATATACATGACTGTCTATGACACATTTACTTTAGCAGAAGTTGGGTAAGTACGAAAGCAGAGGTTTTCCATTTCATCTGTGTCAGAGACATTCTTGATCAAAAGTAATTACGCATTACCGCAGGTGAGAAGTAGAGGCCAGAACTGACATCCAGTGTAACAAAAGCTACATGATTTCTCAGTACCTCACAAGAGACATAGACATATATTATTGTCTGGAGTTTTTGTTGTTGTTGATTTTGGTTTTGTTTTTTAGCTTGCCAGTGTATCCCAAGCTTATAGTAGGCACCCACAAATATTTGTAGTATTTGTTGGTACACAGGTATTTGGTTGATGCCCTCAGCAGTTTTGTGAAGATTGGGCACTATTACTCTTTGTCATTAATCATTAGGTTTAAGAAGAAAGGTAGCTTGTCTTCAGTAACTCAGTCATCACAAAACAAGATCTTAAACCCCATGTGTTTTTTGGGGGAGGTAGAAGGTTGAAACCGAGTCTCAGGTAGCCAAGGTTAGCCTAATTTCGCTACACAGCTGAAGGTGATTTTGAACTCCTGTTCCCCCCCATGCTCTGCCTCTAGAATGCTGGGACTACAGGCTTGCACTTGTACATCCAGCTTTCAAATCCCACGCTCTTTGCCACTGCAGTACACAACATACCACTGCAAGCCATGACAAGTCTGGTTGATAAAGCCCATGTATTATGTTTTTCCCCTCTCCAAACCAGTGTTTTTGCCTGCATAACTATCTCACCAGCCCTGTCTCTGGAGAAAAGCAGGAACTGATGGGCAACCAAAGAGTGGAACCTTCAGGATGGGGAAATTTTATGTTTGCATTTTTCTCTTCTCCAAACTGGTGTCATTGCTTCCTTGACACTTCAAACTATCTCACTGGCCCTCTCTCCTGGTAAAAGCAGAAACTGATGGGTAACCAAAGAAATGGATGGGAAAATTCTTAAATATAAAATACATTTATGAACTGGGCGGTGGTGCTGCACACCCTTAATCCCAGCATTTCAGAGGCACAGGGAGGCAGATCTCTGAGTTCAAGGCCAGCCTGGTCTACACAGCAAATTCCAGGCCAGCCAGGCCTATATAGAGAAATCCTGTCTCAAAACAACAACAAAAATACAGATATGAGGTGCTTTAAAACTATGCCGGCAATCCCGGTACTGGAAGATTAAGGGGAATTATGAGTTTGAGGCAACCCAGAACAATCTAGCAACACTCTATCTCAAAACAACATTTTTGTACCTTTTCCTCTTTTTTTTCTTTTTTTAATCTTTAACTGTAGATAGCTGTGTTATTCAAAAGTATTTACAGAAGTTTGTTTCTAACATTGGTTTTCTTCCCTAGGTTCATTGTCTGAGATCCGTTGATAACTTGTTTGTGGTTGTTCAGGAATTTAAGGATTACCAGTTCAAAAATACAAAGGTGAGCAAGGCAGCTGACTCAGTCACCCTTCCCAAAGAGCTTGTTTTCTCTTGTTTACTACCTACCTGTTGGTAGCTTTGCTATTGGTTCGTTTACAATGGTAAGAACAAGACAAGATGCCGGGCGGGTGGTGCACGCCTTTAATCCCAGCACTCGGGAGGCAGAGGCAGGCAGATCTCTGTGAGTTCGAGACCAGCCTGGTCTACAAGAGCTAGTTCCAGGACAGGCTCCAAAACCACAGAGGAACTCTGTCTCAAAAAAAAAAAAAAAAAAAAAGAACAAGACAAGAGCCTTGCACATACCAAATACGTGATCACAACAAGCTTTCCATTAAAATTCGAAAATCTCTTGACAGTCCATCTCAAAAGCCGCTTTTAAAGGTCAGTGTTTTTAAAAAGTCTGAAATTATAGGAGGAAACATTGACTTCGATTAGCTTGACCTATAGTACATATAATTTAAAACTAGGATTGCTTCCAGCACTTGAACGAAAGAGAGCATAAGTAGCATTACTGCCCCATTTTGCTTTTGTCCTGTTTTAGCTTCGTGTTTTGAAGTGAAGCCAAAGCAACATTTAATACCCTTCCAGTTGTTAGGACAACAGCTTTGTCTCCAGCCGCTGTTTATCATCTGACTTAAATATTCTGCTACTGTTTAATCTGAAGGTTGGAAATAGGCCTCAGTAACACTTTAGGTTTTTCCCTACATCTCTTTCTGGCCAGGTTTCCAGAATCAAGTGCTTAAAACTTTTTCTGTCAATGTTATTATATTCATGTCTAATTTAGAGATAATCTTTCTTAAAAGAACTGAGGTATGTCGTCTAATTCTCTGGTCTTTATTAATTTTCCAGATTATTTTGGATAGCCAAAGTATTCCTAAATCAATCAGACTGATCTGGGGGAGAAAGGGAGCTTAATGATAAAGCACTTTCCTTCTTAGAGCCAAGTAAAAAATTTAAACAGCAACAAAAAGGCTAAGGGAACCAGTAGCCTAAAAAAATTCAGACAGCTCTAAAAGAATATCCCCTGAAAATAGCTCAAAATCTTATTACCTATAGAAATAACTTTCAACACTTAGAAACACTGATATCGCCGGGCGGTGGTGGCGCACGCCTTTAATCCCAGCACTCGGGAGGCAGAGGCAGGCGGATCTCTGTGAGTTCGAGACCAGCCTGGTCTGCAGAGCTAGTTCCAGGACAGGCTCCAAAGCCACAGAGAAACCCTGTCTCGAAAAACCAAAAAAAAAAAAAAAAAAAAAAAAAAAAAAACAAAAAAACCACATATCATAATCCTTTGGATTCATTTTTTCTTCAGTGCTGCCCTTGGGGTTGATCCCTGACCTTTGAGTCCTAAGTGAGCACTCCCACTGAGCTCCATCCCCAGCCCTAACTCTTGAGACTTATTGTAGCTACTACCAACTGAGTGAAAACTAAAAAGAAAAAAAAAGGAGCAATCTTTTGAAAAGTTATGCTGCTAAGTATTTAGGAATTTTGAAGGTCGGTTTTATGCATGAATAAATGTTACTGGGCATTAGAAAAAAATTTTCTGTCTTAAATTCTCTTGCCTTTAAATTGTCAGGATAGTATTAAATTTATTAAATGTTTGGATTTTTATCATCTTAAAATTTGTATTGTTGAGGAAGTCCTGATATCTAATTAGAGGTGAATTTGGTTGTTGTATAGATGTATATGAGCTAACCTTTAGAGTTGCTTTGGAAATCAATATGAGAAGGGTTCTTGAGGGCAAAGGAGATCACTGTTGGAAAAGCACTTACTGCCCAAGCACAAGGACCCAAGTTCAGTCCCTGGTGCTGGCATAAAAGCCAGGCACGGCAGTGTATAGCTGTTACCCCATTGCTGAGGGAATAGGAAAGAGTACCCCAGTCTCTTTAGCCAACCAACCTAGCTGAAAGATCCTGTCTTTTTCTTTGTTTAACAGATTTTTTTGAGACAGGAATTCTCTGTGTAGCCCTGGCAGTTCTGGAACCTGCTCTGTAGACCCTACTGGCCTTGAACTCAGAGGTCTGCTTGGAGATCTGGGATTAAAGGCTCGCCTTTACCACACCTGGCTCTTGTGCTATGTTTTAAAATAGTTTAGCACTTTTATATATGTATTCTAGCAATTAGTTTTATAAACACAACTTGGTATTATCTATCTAATCTACTATTTCCATCTACTTTTTTTATATCTCTGCTATTGTTGCAGATGAAATTGTCATGTTTTTCCCCGTTTCCACTCCATTCTGATTTTAGTGTTTAACTTCCTCAGTGTTGGACCTATAAGTATACTTTATCAGCTTGTGCTCTATCCTTTGACCTGTAAGTATAAGATGAGGGTTGTAGCAATCTTAAATTACTTCTCTTTCCTATTATGTGCTGATGTGTAATTTTGCTTCTGTTTATAGTCACAATCCACACTTTGTTTTTTAGTCTTAACGCTAATGAATAAAGGTGTATTTCTTTTCTTCTTTTTTTGAAGGATGAGTATTTTTTCTGTGGCCCAGGCTAGGCTTGCATTTGAAGAGATTCTCCTAGGATTGTTAGGATAAGCCCCTATATCCTGGCTGTCTTATTATTTTTAATGGCCCAAGTTGAGGGATGTTTACTTTGTATGTTCTGTTAGTTGGAGTATAAACAAGTCATCTTCCTTTCTAGAAAAAGCGTGGTAGTCAGTGTTCATTTTCTTCTAGCAATAAATGTTGTGAAGAGTCTTGAATTCATCTAGATAAATATTTCTCCTTTACTGCTTTCTTGTTTTTGTGTGATGATGTTCAACTCGTTAAACTCTGTAAACTCCTTCCATCTCCTGGTGACTCACCTCATTTCCTTTCTGCTTCTAAGTCTGCTTAATTTGGATGTCATTGTCTTTTTTTTTTCTTTTTTCTGACTTTAAATAATATTTCTTAATGGTGTTCTGTGGTGACTTCTTCCTCTGCTATTTTTTCCCTGTTTTGTTTCCTTCCCCCGCATCCTTTTGTTTACTTCCTAAGCTCTGTGTTGAGAAGTTTTGAACTTACAGTGAATGATGCAGTTCCTCTCTGACCTTTGTAAGGGAGTCCCAAGGGTGAGACCCTGAGGGTTTTCCAGAATAAGAGCTATCCCCGAACTGACTGGGGATAAACAAGTCTTTTCTTCCTTCCTTTTTTCTTTTTTATTGTTTTATTGAAGTATAAATTTTATTCCACTGAATGAATTGTCTTAATCTTTACTTCCTCTCTGGCTTCATGGGAACAGAGGCTTTGGAGTTCATCAAGCAAAATACACTTAACTCTTATCAATGAACTGTAGACAAAAATATTTGAAAAAAGTAGCAGGCTGACTGCTAGATTGGAGTATAAAATGTGACTGAAGTGACTGAGAAACAGATTATTTCATTTCCTAAAGGTTTTGTTTAGAAACAGAATCTCACTGCATCCTGGCCTGGAAAGGACTTAATAGACAGGCTGGCCTCAAGTTCTCCGAGATCCAGCTGTCTCCACCTGGGATTAAAGGTGTGCACTGCCACACCTGGCTTCTGGAGCTTTAAGTCATTTAAACATCTATACTGTAGTTGTTTATATAGGTTCTAGTGTTTGCTCTGTTGGATAGCAGTCTTCTGTACTTGGAATTTCAGTATTATCAGTCACTGCAGTACTAGCAGTTGAATTTAGGACCCCGGACTCTGTACCACTGAGTGATATCCCTGACCCTCTTACTTTTATTTTGAGGCAAGGTGTTAATAAGTTATCTTGGCTGGCCTTTAACCTACTCTGTAGCTCAGGAAAGCCTGAACTTGCAACTTTGCCTCAGGTTCCTTAGTAGCTAGGATTACAGACCTGTGCCAATAAACCCACCCTGGCAGCTGTATATTAACCACCCTTTATATGCCTCTGCTGTTGTAGGTGTGTGGCCCATAGCAAAGGTCAAGGTAATTTGGGTCTTTCCACCATACACTTACAGGAGTGGCCTTGCTAGCAAACAGTACATAAACCTAGTAACTATAGATCATGCTTAGTACTGTAGTCAAACTGGAAGAGAAGAATTTGACAGGGCAGGTACCACCAAATTTATTTCTTAAAAATAATCATATGAGCCAGGTGTGGTAGTGCACACCTTTAATCCCAGCACTTTAGCAGCCAGAGGCAGGTGGAGCTCTGTGAGTTCTAGGCCAGCACAGTCTACAGAGCCTATTCAAGGACATATTTCACAATAGCCAGGACTATAAAGAAGAGACCCTGTAGCCAAAAGATAATCATGCTGTTTACAGTCTGGACAGATGACATTTTTAAACCTCTATAATCTTGTTCAAATTCAGAACATCTGAAAGGAAGCCTTAAACTGGTTGTCTTCTTCCCGTCTACTGCTGTCCTCCCGTCCCCACAGGCATTCCTCGGTGCTGTGTCTGACCTGCCTTCTCTATTGCCCTTTAGTAGCGTGATGTTTCTATATCCTCGCTCATCATTTACACTGGGATTTCCTTAATTGCAGGCATTATTTTCCCCTTTGTTTCTGCACTCCCACCCCTCATCATAAGGACTCGGAGCTGTCTATAAAAAAAGTGGGCATCTATTTGTTCAGTTAAATTGGTGAGAAATGAAAGGGCTTCGTTCTCCATTCCTTTGCAGGAAGAAGTTCTAAAGGACTTTGAAGAATTGGCTGGAAAGCTCCCATGGTCTGACCCTTTAAAAGTCTGGCAAATTAACACTAGTTTCAAGAAGAAGAAAGCAAAGCGCAGAAAGGCAAGTCAGAGTGCAGGTCAAGAGAAGGCCAACTGTGGCCAAGGAGACAAAGCAGAAGAGACAGGCGGTAAGAAGCTTTCCAGCAGCACTTCAGAATCACATATCTTGGACTATTATGAAAATCCAGCCATCAAAGAAGAAATATCAACCTTAGTGGGCGATGTCTTGGCATCTTACAAAGATGAGATTGGTGAATGCTTAAGAGAAGAAACTGAGCCACAAGTACAGAAGTTTAGAGTCACCTGCAACAGAGCAGGAGAGAAACATTGCTTTACCTCAAATGAGGCTGCGAGGGATTTTGGGGGTTCTGTTCAAGAGTATTTTAAGTGGAAAGCTGATATGACCAACTTCGATGTAGAGGTGGGTATTAGCATTGACTGATCATTATGGCTGTAATGGGGCCATAATGTCTCAGTGGATAAAGTGCTTGCTGAGCAAGCATGAGAACCTGCGTTTGGATCCCTAGCACCCACACAAAAGCCGAAAACGAATGTGTGCATGTTAACTCTAGCACTGAGAGGTAATCAGGCAATACCATAGAGCTTGTTCAGCAGTCCAACCGAAACAAGACCCAGGTTCAGTGAGAGACCCTGTCTCAAAAATAAGGTAGGATAGTAGAAAGACACTCAGTGTAAAATGGTTTCCGCACTCTCACACACAGAAGAGAAAACAGGTTCTCATATATCTGTAGAATTTCCAGACTAACCTAGTAAAGGGACAGTAAAACAGTGGCCACAGAGCTAGGAGGATGTAGTTAGGAATAGTGTGGCCTATGGAGGGATAGGTATAGACTGAAATTTTTACTCTGAAACTCTAGGATTGGACAAGATTATCTCTTTGAGCCTCTGTTTGCAGTGGAGCCAATAATAGTATATACCTTGAAGGTCTATACTACAGAAGCCAAACGAAATAATGACTTAAAGAGTTTGGTATAGTATATTGGTATATGCTAAGTGCTCAATGGACAGGTGGTCAGAACTCAAGTAATGGACATGCGCCTTTAATCCTAGCACTCAGGAGGGAGAGCATCTTTTGTGAGTTCAAGGCAGGCCTGGTCTACCTAGTGAGTTGTGGGACAGCTAGGACTATGCAGAGAGCCCGCCTTGACAGCCCCTCAGGTGTGCACTGTCTCTGTCTGAACTCGGCATCACCATGTCCAGTAGAAGATGAGTCCTTTTTATAAATTGTGGTGCTGGACTCAGCCCCAGGACCGTGTGCATAGTAGACAAACACTCCGCTTCCAGTCGGTATCTACACAGTCCTCTAATTTCTAAGCTAGGAATTTTCTACATTATGTGGAATTCTAGATTGTAAATTTACCTAAAACTTACTTTTATCTTAGTTGCAGAGTTTTGCTGCTAAGTCATATTGGAATCTAATTTTCAGACCCTCAAGTCTGGGTTTAGGGCTTAATCCTCAAATGAAACCAGCTCTGCTTTTTAAAGTCGGCTAGGTTCTCAAAACCCAATGCCTCCTGCTAGCTTGATTACCCTTGTGACTACTGGGTGACTAATGTGCATAACAGTAATTTGAGCTCCTTACATTTCTGGTGCCTCATACAGGTCCCTAGCAGTTGACATTTTACCAAGAAGTCAATTTCTGTTGCTTTTGGGATACTTAAATCTGGGGCATGCCACTTTCTTTGTAACTTTTCTTTAAAAACATGTCAGACTAGTACAATTCCCCATTCCATACTCCCTTACACAGCTACCATGAGAGTGAATAGGCTAAAGAAGAGCCATGTCCAGAAACTAGCACAGTCACACAGAGAACAAATCATGGAGCCACACTGCCTGGGTTAAACTGTAACTCGGGCCCTTGTGCAAAGGGCACATGAACTGCTGTCTCTGTGTCCTAGGCTCGGAGGGGCTCATAGGAAATGAGGCCATGCGAGGAAGATGTGTAGAGCAGGGCCGTGCATGCTGCAGTGTCAGCTCTTGACTGCTGACGTTGATAAATCTGCGATGAGGACATTCTAGGGAAGATTAGGGAACAGTTTTATCTTCATAGAATATTTTTGAGTTAGAAAAACTAGGACAAAGACAGTCACTAGACATTATATAAAAATACTAAGAAAACCATAGCTAATAAAGCAAACGCGTCATTGTCAGCTCTGGAGAGAAAGGTGTGTTCGAGTGCTGTGGAAGAGGGCTTGTTGCACTTGCGTATGTTTGAAACCTTCCCAAAAATTGGAGTAATTTAAAAAATAAATGTAGTTAAGTGTGGTGGCATATGCCTTTTGACTGAGGAGACAGAGATGGGCAGATCTTAAATTTGAAAGCTGGTCTGGTCTATATAGTGAGTTCCAGGACAACAAGAATGCATAGTGAAACCCTGTCTTATTTGTTTATTTTTTCATTTTTCCCCTTCTTGGTTTTTTTGAGACAGGGTTTCTTTGTAACACTGACTGTTTAAGAACTCACTCTGTAAACCTAGCTGGCCTCTAATTCAGAGATCTACCTGCTTCTGCCTCCCAAGTGCTGGGATTAAAGTTGGATGCTAACACTGCCCAGTGAAATCCTGTCTTAAACAAAAGAACAATAACACACACTCAAACACACACACACATACTCATATTTTAAAGCCATGTCATGAAAATATGTTAATATAATAAAAACTAGGAGATAATCTAATGATAGCCAGCTTGTATATAAATAGAATGAAAAGAACATTTTAAAATTAAATCAAAATAGAATATACATAAATATATGTGTATATATTTTATTTTTGTGAAATTCAAAAATGATACAACTAATTTATAATAGTAGTGGTCAGATTAATGATCACCCTGCATGTTGACCAGGAAGGAAACAAAGGGAGCCGTCTAAAGGGACTGTATATAGGGCAAGCTCACTGAAACATATATATCATTAGGATTTACATACCTCCGGGCTCATGAAATGGCTCAATGGGTAGTCAGACTTGTCACCAAGGCTGCTGACCTGAGTTCAATTCCTAGGACACATGGTGGATGTTGTCCTCTGGTTTCCACACTCAGGCCATGTACACACACATATACATAAATAAATAAATGAATGTCATGCACTTTATAGTAAGCATGCGAAGTGTAACTCGGAAAGTTTGTGTGGGCTGGAGGGATGGCTCAGTGGTTAAAAGAATTGGCTGCTCTTTCAGTGGGTACAGGTTTAATTCCCAACTTCCACATGGCAGGCAACTCACAATTGTCTGTAGCTCTAGTTCCCGAGGTCTTCATAGACACCAAGTGTGTATATGGTGCACAGATACACGTTCAAGCAAAATACTCATACATAAAAAATATTTTTTTTTTTTGAGACAGGGTGACTGTCCTGGAACTAGCTCTTATAGACCAGGCTGGCTAGAACTCACAGAGATCCACCTGCCTCTGCCTCCCGAGTGCTGGGATTAAAGGCGCGCACCACCCCAGCCCAGCAAAAATAAAAAATTTCTAAATTGAAAGTTTTTGTGCATGGTGGTTGTATATGTCCAAGCCACACCTGACTTTTCTGTGGGTGTTGGGCATCCAAACTCAGGTCTTCATAATTGCGAGTACTCTCTCCACTGAGTCATTTCCCCAGCCCTGTATAAGAAAGTTGTTTTGTTTCTGTTTTATCTTAAAACTTCAAAAAGTCTTAATGAGGTAGACATCTATCTCGTACTTGTGATTCTAGCATTTATGAGGCAGAGGCATAAAGATTTTGCGTTCAATACAGCTAATTTACATAAGAAATTCAAGCCAATCTTGACTCTGAAATCCTGTTTTATTTTTTTTAATTATTTATTTTGTTGTTTTGTTTCAGACTGGGTCTCTTTATCTACTCCTGGCTGTTCTGGAACTCACTATGTAAGCTAGGCTGGCCTCGAACTCACAGAGCTCCACTGCCTCTGTCTCCCAGGTGCTGTGATTAAAGCACTTGGAAGGCAACACCACACCCAGCAAAGGCCCTGCTTTAAAATTAAAAAAAAAAATCTTGGTAATAAGTGCAGTTTGAAGGATGCCAACTATTTCTTTTATCAAATTTAATGTAGGTTCTCCTGAACATCCATGATAATGAAGTCATTGTTGGCATTGCATTGACAGAGGAGAGTCTCCATCGCAGAAATATTACACATTTTGGACCAACAACTCTTAGGTCAACTCTTGCCTATGGGATGCTCAGGTAACAGAAGGGGATTTTCTATCTATATTGCAATGGACACTTTGCTCTGAATCTTGCCTAAAAGCACCCATTTTCTAAAATAATATTTCTTGGTTAGGACACAGAGTTGCCTGTTTCCTCTTCAGTATTCAGTGTTGGCTTAGATGGTGTGTTAGTATTGACTATAGCCTGAGAGTCGTAGCTTCGTGTGTGTCTTCAGTTGAGAAAGGATATTCTTTTATAGGAGATAGAGCTAGATTTGCTAGGCTTTGTGTTTATACAGTGAAGTAGACAAGGGATCCTTAAAATGTGTCAGTGACTACAGAACTTGTGCTGACTGAAGCTGTTGCAGTGCAGCACAGGCCTGCTGGTATCATGAGAGCTGGGATCCTAGACACACCACTTACTGATGCTTTTAAATGTTACAATGGCAGCAACCCAGGGATCATCATGGGACTTTTAGAAAGGCAAGGCAAGCAACCGTTTTCCGTTGTCATTTTCCCGTTATTCCTGTTTGCTGTCTTAAATAAGAGTTTTCCCTCTCTAAACTTGATTTCAAGATTGCAAAATGTGTTTGACATGGGACTCAAAAGATTATTCATGTGCTTAATTTTGCAGCACATATACAAAAATTAAAGCAGTTTAGAGAAGATTAGCAGGTCCCTACATAAAGATGACAGATTATGTAGTTTTCTATATAAGCAAAAAAGAAAAAGAAAAAAGATTTAGTCTGCTGGAGAGATGGCTGAGGTTTAAGAGCACATGCTGCAGAGGACCTGAATTTGGTTGCTAGCACTCAGGTTGGCAGACAGATGATAATGACCCACAACTCCAGCTCCAGGGGATTCAAGCCTCTGTCTTCTTGTCTACAGTTCAGCATTTGCAGGCACCTATCCACCCACACGGGCACACATACACATACTTTTTTTACAAATAGAGTGGTGGCTGTGGGGTTGTAGAGATGGCTCAGCAGTTACTAGTTCCTGCTGTTCTCCTAGAGGACCAGAGTTCAATTCCCAGCATCTATATCTGGCAGCTTACAACTGTCTGTAATTCCAGCTCAATACCCTCTTCCAAAACCCTCTTCTGGCCTCCATGGGTACCTGTACACATGTGCATGTCTACACACATGTGCAGTACACACAGAGTGACACAATTACATACACATTGGTTAAAAAAATATTAAAAAGTTTGGTTTATGAACATTGGAGGCAGAAACAAAGACAGATTGCCTTTTTTTATACAGTGCCTGGCATGTCCTAATGAGTCATATAAGTTTATTTCCTTCCTTTCTAGTTTTTGCTTCCTCTTTTATTCTGGTCATGTGTGAATTCATAGTCCCTCACAACTGGATATGAAGTTGATAACAGAAAATTTAAAAGAAATACTCCTAAATTTCATTCATTGAACAGACATTTATTATCTGCCTCCAGCTGTAATTATAGAAACCAGCATACAAAGATTTATTTTGGGTGCAAGTATTAAAAAAACTAAACAGAATTTAAAATGTGATGATTGGGCTGAGGAAGCAGCTCTGTACAGTTTTTGCACATAAGGGCCAAGTTTGACCTCCCAGCAGCACGTGTGTCTGTCATTCCAGTACCAGGAGCAGACACAGGAGGATCCCTAGGGCTCTCTGAGCAGCCAGTCTAACTGAATCTGTGAGCGCCAAGTTGTGAGGGACCCGTTCTCAAACACTGAGATGAAGAACAACTGAGAAAGATGCACAGCCAAGGTGTCTTTCTCACCACTCTGCAGGCAGAGAGGCAGGCGGATCTCTGTGAATTCAAGGCCAGCATGGTCTACAGAGTGAGTTCCAGAACAGCTAGGGCTCTGTAGAAAGACCTCTCAAAAAACTAAAACCAAAGAGAGAGAGATGCTCAGTGTTGACCTCTGACCTTCATGTGCATGTAGGCAAACACAAATGTGTACACATGTGCACATATACACACGAAGTGATAATTATGCTGGGAACAGGGTGGTTGGGGAGATGAGCAGAAAATTATACCAAATTCACAAAAAGTCTTGAAAGCCATTTCAAGAAAGGTAGAAACTGTGGGGCTGGAAATTGGCATAGCACCGTAAGAGCACTGGCTGCTCTTCCAGAGATCCTGGGTTCAATTCCTAGTACTAACATGGTGACTCACAGTTGTTTGTAACTCCACTTTCAAGGGACCTGATCCCTCTCCTGACTTTGACAGGCACTGCTCATCTGTAATCCAGATGTGCATGCAGGCAAAACATCCATACACATAAAGGTTAAAAACAGAAGGGCAGAAACTAGATGAGAGAAAACACAGGAGACTGCTTTTCTCTCATTTGAAAGCTTCTGGGCTTCTGCTCAGCTCAGCCATGCACGTGGCTGCCCGCCATTTAAATATGTGTACCTTCAGTTGCACATGACTAGCTCACACACCCAGGGCTACTTGCTCTTTATTCCAGATTCCTAAGAGGATTTGAGTGACGTGTTTTGATCAGATGCCCAGTCACGGCCCATTAGCAATGACTGACATTACAGGCTTGCCTAAGAATCTATCTTATGAGGGAGATCGTTAGCATTCATGGTGCAAGATCTTAAAAAGAACATGAAAATGTTAGAACAGATGACACTTAGTGACCTGAGGATTGGTGCTACATAGAGGAGGTAAGTAACACGTGAAGTTATTCACAGTGACCTGTAGTCCTGACTGTCACCTCATACGGGGCCTAGGAAAATGTGTCTTTGCATCAGTTTGCTAGATGGTAATGGGGATGTTACAAGGATTCAGTGAAATGACTCGTGTATAAAGGTAGAGCAGTTATTTTATCTTAAAGATGTTATCTCTAGAATTAAACCACATTAAGTTTGAAACCCAAAGCCTTGTACACGTAGGTGAACACTGCTATTGAGTGCTAGCCATAGGCTGACTTTAGATTATAGATTGCTGCTCCTTCATGCCTGTGTCCTAACCTTTAGGAATCCCTATTGTGGAAGTCTCAGCTTTTGGCTGATCTCACATGTACTGAATTGTTTTCTCCCTCCAGGCTCTGTGAACCTAAACCTACTGATGTAATAGTGGATCCAATGTGTGGAACAGGGGCAATACCAATAGAGGTAATAATCCCTATTTATTTTTCCATACGCAAGTGATAATATCATTTATTTCAAACAGGAAGTGCCATACAACTAGATAGTCAAATTTTCTGGATGACAGAGGAGCTGAAAATGACAAACTGATAAATCCATTTTCTATGATCGATAAGCCACTAGATTGAAGAGCAGAGGCTAACGGAAGGTATCATAAACTGGAGGAAGTTGGTTTTCCTCTCCATATAATTAGAGGTTCCTGGAGTGAACAAGTTTATAGTTATGAAAAGGAGAAACCACAGAGTTGTAGCTCAGTGCTGAGGTAGTTGCCTGGCATGCCACAGATCCTGGACTTGATCTCCAGCACTGCAAAACAAAACTAGAAAAACCCACCACCTATGAACATTTTTTATATTTGTTTGTTTTGAGACAGGGTCTCACTATGTACCTGTGGCTGGCCTCCAACTCACCGAGATTTATCCATCTTTACAAGGATTAAGGCTACAAACTACCATACTCAGTCTTTTTACCTGTTTTTTCTTTTTGTAAACATTACTTTACATATTTTGGAAGTCTGACAAAGCTACATAACCAGTGCCCTGAAATAATTTTCAGAATTACTGCCCCACTCATAAAACATAAAGAAGGCACTGGGCAGCCATGACCCACGATTTTGATACTAGCACTTGGGAAGCAGAAACATGTAGATATCTGAGTTAGAGGCTAGCCCCTGTCTACAGAGTGAGTTCTAGGACAGTCAGGGCTACCCAAAGAAACCCTGTCTTTGAAAAACAAAACAAAAACAACAACAACAATAACAAAAAAAAAAAAAAAACACAAACTACAGAGGCAAAGTAAGAACTGGGAAGATTTTATTCATTATGATTTTTAACCTTTTTGAGGCAAGGTCTTGGTATGTAGCACCGGCTGGCCTTGAATTCAAAGCAGTCCTCCTGCCTTAGCATCTCCCAAGTGCTGGTATTACAGGCATGAGCCACCACACACAGTGGAAAAGAAATCTTGTATGTAGAAAACTGTTGAGATTGAATCACAACACCTGTATGTCTGTGATTGACAGGAAGGAGCTCACAGTAAAATCACTTAAAGGTTTCTGTGAAACATGGTGAAACATTCCCGACTATATCAAAACCAGTGAAAAGAAACTGTACATAAGTACCACAGATTGTGTTGAGTGGGCAGAAATGGAACGGATGAGCAAGCCCAAAGCAACCCACAGAGGGAAAAATAATCCAAAGTGTAATGAGAGAATCTTTGGTCTGACTTTGATTAGGAGTTGAGATCAAGTGAAAACCACGTGGTCTGCATGTTATGATGCAGACTGGTGTTGGCTGGGGAGTAACTGCTGCTGAGATCTGAACCTGAGAGCTTAGTTATGGTCTAGAGTTCTGGGAACAAAGCTGTACTTCTCCAGCATTAAACTATGTCCTTTCTATGCAATACCAGGTGAAGTTACCATGTGTCCAGAAACATACATTAGAAACAGACACGAGAATAAAAGTGGGGGAAAAGCCAATCTGAGCCATTTCCATGTTAAAGTAGGCATGAGAGCACCATTGTAGAAAGGAGCTTTAGCTGAGAAATGATGGAAATCGTGAAGAATTGCCAGGGTCTGTGAACAGATGTGTTCAGTATCAAATATCTGGCCTAGAATATGCTGAGATTTAGAAGTAATGTAACATGCAGCCTGAGGTAGGATATCCAAATTAGATTAAAAGTTTAAAAGAAAGATGGTTGGCAAAGATTCTTACTCAGTAGAGCCATATCTCTAGTGGGTAAGAATCTCCTGAGAGACCTACTCTGTGGGTTCCTTCTGTATTCTTACCTGCCCAGTTTCAGGCATACTTGAACATTCCTTTTGTTTGCAGTCATTGTAGAATAATAGACTAGAATATGTCATCACCCTCAAGGGCCTGGGCAAATACAAAGTTAGTGCTGTATTCATGCTTGCATGTCTTCATGGCAGAAACTGTACTACTATAGTGTGTCAATGCTTGGCATTTATATTCTGCTGACATTTTTTTACTTATCTACAAAATCCTTTAAGAAACAAATGGTGGTTATCTTTTAAAGCTAAACTCTCACAGTCCAAGAGTATAGGTCTAATTAGTTTGGTTAATTTTGGGGGGATGGGTTGGGGTTCTGAGACAAGGTTTCTTTATATAACAGTCCAGGTTGTCCTGGAACTTGTTTGGTGTACCCGGCTGGCCTCAACTCAGAGATCCACCTGCCTCTGCCTCCTGAGTGCTGGGCTAAAAGGTATGCACTACCACGCCCGGTCAGTTTCATTAAGTTTTTAAAATCATGTTAACTTAGGGAATGTAGTCTCTTGTATGCACCAGCCTTTGCTGGGTAGGGACTGAGTAAAATAATAGACCTATGCTGAAGGAGTTGCCAGATTACGTGGAAGACAGAGTTGATAGACATAGTTAAAAGTGGGACAAGTCAGCAACAGAGGTACACATAGTGCTTCTGGAGCTGACATTGATGTCACAGTGGGTGACACTGGAGCTACATCTCCAGTGGGTGAAAAAGAACAGGGAAGTCCTTTCTGTTGGCACGGTAGCCATGTTATTGAACATTGACCATAATGATTTACCCTTTAATTGTCTCTTGTGGCATACTTAACATTCTTGTCTCATAGGGTGCTACTGAGTGGTCTCACTGTTACCATATTGCTGGGGACAACAACCCACTGGCAGTGAACAGAGCAGCAAATAATATATCATCTTTATTAACTAAGAGCCAGATTAAAGATGGGTAAGTTTAACTTCAGAGACTGCATTCCATATTTGCGAGTCACTCTCCATACTGCCTTAGAATTATCGTTCATTGCTCGTGCTTTGTGACCTCTCTAACTTTATGAACAATGTGAGAGACACCACCTAGCTTACTGAACATCATTTATAATTAACTACAGTTTCCATTCTTTACTCCAATTTTATTTCTCCCATTTTCTTAATTATTTTTATGTCCTTTTTCCAAACAGTACAGTACAGTATAGATTTATTATTTAGCAAAGGTCACATCCTATAACTAGGTCTTACCTTGAACTCACTGTATAGCACAGCTGGCCTCAGACTCAAGAGTCATCTTTCTGACTTTGCCTCCCAAGACTGGGATTGTAGACATGAGCTACCAAATCCAACTATTTACATTTGTAGTATATGAGTACATTCATTTTAATGTCACAAATTTGAAAATACTTTTAATATTTTTACATAGTCCATTTTAAATGACTGCACAACATTCCATCATATAGAACTATTACAATTCATTAAGCTTTTTTCTAAAATGATGTGTGTTAAGCCAGGTTGTGGTAACACACCTTTAATCCCAGCACTTGGGGAGGCAGAGGTAGGTGGATTGCCATGACTCTGAGATTAGCCTGGTCTACACAGTGAGTTCCAGGACAGCTGGGACTACAGAGAAAACCTTTCTTGAAAAGCCAAAAGAAATAAAATAAAATAATGTGACGTGAAAGAAGCATGAAAGCCATTCCCATAACTTCTAGATTACCAGTGGCCCTGACTCGTGGCCTGGCCTATTTCTGTTTGTTAAGTGTGGGCCTGGGAGTGTCATGCAGCTTTGCCATGGTGCGGAGGTCAGAGGACAACCTGTCTAGACGGTTCTCTTCTTCCTGCTCTGGGTGTCAGGAATCCAACTGTTTGTCAGCCTTAGTGCCAGGCATCTTTGCTAGCTGGGCCATTTCTCTGGACATTTAAACACCTTTTTACATCTAAACTCATTTCCCCTGATGCTTTTTAAAATTGTGTGAAACCTTACATCCAGCCTTAACCATTTAGAAAGCTTGTATTTCAGTTATGGCTATATTTCTTCCTACACTACTGTAACATTTTTTTTTTAAGAAAAATGATTTTAAAAGTTTTAAAATGCTGCAGAAATTTTTTTACATTTATTTATTTGTGTGTGGGCACAAGAGTAGGTAGGGGTGATTGCTGGGCGGTGGTGGGGCACACCTTTAATCCCAGCACTCGGGAGGCAGAGGCAGGCAGATCTCTGTTGAGTTCAGGGCCAGCTAGTTCCGGGACAGGCTCCAAAGCTACAGAAAAGCCTTGCCTCAAAATATATATATATTTAGAGAGAGAGAGAGAGAGAGAGAGTGTAGGGGGTGAGAGGTCAAACCAAAGGATTTAGTTCTCTCCTTCTATGTGGGTCCCAGGTCATCGGGCTTAGTGGCAAATGCCATCTCATTAGCCTGGGATAATATATTGAAGTATCTTTCCTTTGTCTCCACAGAAAAACATCCTGGGGTTTGCCCATTGATGCTGTGCAGTGGGATATATGCAACCTCCCACTGAGAACTGCTTCTGTGGATATTATTGTAACAGATATGCCATTTGGAAAAAGGTAGACTTGGGTTTTTATCTTTTTAAATGGAATTTGATTTCACCTGTAATTTCTGTTTGTCTTTTCAGTCAGAAATATGTACCGTAATTCATTTCATCCATTGTTCTATTACATTATCCTGTTTTGTTTTAATATTTATTTATTTATTATGTATACAATATTCTGTCTGTGTGTGCCTGCAAGCCAGAAGAGGGCACCAGACCTCATTACAGATGGTTGTGAGCCACCATGTGGTTGCTGGGAATTGAACTCAGGACCTTTGGAAGAGCAGGCAATGTTCTTAACCTCTGAGCCATCTCTCCAGCCCCCTACATTATCCTGTTATAGGCTGAGGAGCACGTGCTTCTTGGGACAGATTTCTCTACTCAGTGGTTTGGCTCATGTAATTTGATTGTTGTCTTCACTGAGATAAGTTACAGTTGTAAAAATGGAACAAAAGTACATCTGGTAGTCCCAGCAATCCAGAGGCAGAGGCAGACGGATCTCTGTGAGTTGGAGGCCAGCCTGGTATACAAAGTGAGTTCCAGGATAGCCAGAGCTGTTACACAGAGAAATCCTGTCTTGAAAACTAAAAATCCGTCACAAAAAAATGTTGAAAGAAAACTTTGAATATTTGACTAACATAGCTTCCTTTAGTGGCACAGAATGTGAAAGGTCAAAGCTCTGGCCTCTAAAAGATGACTTCTTCATACCTTGGATTTTGTTCTTGTCTCGTCTAAGAAACTACCCATTTATCTTTTGCAACAGTTTATACTTAACCTTTTTTCATAGGATGGGCTCCAAGAAGAGAAATTGGAATCTATATCCAGCTTGCCTTCGGGAAATGAGCCGTGTCTGTAGACCAGGGACAGGCAGAGCTGTACTGCTTACTCAGGACAAGAAATGTTTTACCAAGGTAATGAACATGAGAGTTAAAAATCTCAGCTTAAGGTAACTTTAGGATACTTTTATATATATATATTTATTTATTTATTTATTATGTATACAATAGTCTGTCTGTATATCTGCTGGCCAGAAGAGGGCACCAGACCCTCAACAGATGGTTGTGAGCCACCATGTGGTTGCTGGGAATTGAACTCAGGACCTTTGGAAGAGCAGGCAATGCTCTTAACCTCTGAGCCATCTCTCCAGCCCCAACTTTAGGATTCTTAAAAGAAGGGTTGGGCCCTGTTGTAATAAGAGCGGCAGGGCCACGGGACCCACCTCCATCAGGGCCCTAGTGCCTGAATATGGGAAAAGCCTCAGAGCTTTGCTGGCCAGCCAGTGTAACCATTCAATGAGACCTTTCCTTACTGCACACCCCCATACACATACACCCCATACATCCCCTGCCTGTATGTGCAGCAGATGTATGCCCCGTGCCCTCAAAGGACAGAAGAGGGTATTGGATGGATCTCCCTAGAATTGGAGTTAATAGTTTTGAGCTGCCACATGGGTCCCAGAAACTGAACCCAGATCCTCTACAAGAACAGCAAGTGCTCTTAACTTCTGGGCCAACTCTGCAGCCTATAGCATCACCCATAGCATTTCTTAAGTGGCAAAGATTCCAGGTTAGTTTAAAAGCAGACTGGCAGCCTAATGACTTTTATGCTTTTTTATGTGTAACAGGCATTATCTGGAATGGGACATTTGTGGCGAAAGGTCCATACGGTCTGGGTGAACATCGGGGGCCTTCATGCTGCAGTTTATCTTCTAAAACGCACAACTCAAGTCTTTATTCATCCTTCAGAACAAGATGGAGAAAGATACCCTCCTTGGTAAAAGGAAAAAATGAAGAGGACTGTAGTATTTAAAGTTCCTAATGCTGGACATGCAGCATAAAGAACTTGCTGTGGAAGAAAAATAGCAGAAAAGTAACTTAGTATTACAGTCTTTACTGCTCAACTATTCCAGACGCTTTTTTGTTAACAAGGTGAAGAAGGTAATGGTAATTCCTGAGAGGCCTACATTGCTTGGCTTCTAGGTTTGAGAACACTTCAGGCCATGTTCTGTCAGCTGTGCAGCCTACTGTTCTGTAGCCTAAATTCTTTATGACACACTCAGAAACTAAAGCATCCCTGCAGACCTACAGTTTACCATCTGCCTTAAAATAAATACAACCAAAACAGGACATTACTAAGTAGTAGAAGCATCAGTAGAAGAAGTATGGGACCAAAAAAGCCAAATAAAAGGAATTTTTCTTTTAGTATATGTATTACTTTTCAAAGCCCAATAAACAAATAATAAACTAATCCTGTTAGTATTTGTGGGAGAGCTAATGTATGTTGTTATTCCTGCCTAGCTCATTGTTCAGTTGTACCAAATCCTTCTTCAGGTAGTACTATGGGAAATGAAATAACCTCAGCCCTGCTTGAGCTTTGATAGGAAGTTATTTTGGGAGTCTGCCTTCATCCAGCTTAGATTTTCAGTATGATATTTCTATTTAGAATAAAGGACAAAGTACTTCCTTTCTTTGAAAACAGAATCCACATTGACAGCATAGTCAGTAGCCAATTGGCTTCTTGGAATTACTAGAGAATGAACTGAGATTATGAAATCTGTAAAGGTTTTATGCCCTAGGTGGGCATTTTTGCAATTGCCAAAATACATTATTGGTTTAACATAAACTTAAAAGTCCATCTTTGACAAAAGAAACCATTTAAATCTCAAAAGTAAGCTGGTCAGAGCCAGAATGTGCAAGGGTAGTTAACTATTTTCATCACCATTTACCAAGTTCCTGATACAGATTTCCCAATGAGCATTTAATATTTACTGAACAAATCAACTAGTTTGTTTTTTGGAGACAGGGTTTCTATGTGTAGTCCTGGCTGTCCTGGAACTACATTTGTAGACCAGGCTGGCCTTGAACTCACAAAGATCCAACTGCCTCTGCCTCCTCAGTGCTGGGAAAGGCATGTACCAGCACTGCCCGGCCTGAACCAGTACTTTTTATGCTAAATTCTCAACTAATACACCAGATTTTTGCTTGATTCATCACAAAAAACCTGACTGAAGACACTGCAAATGCAGTGAGTACTGCGTCTTCATCTCTGGTTAGTAAATTGCTAGTCTGGTTACTAGAATTAAAAAGTGAACTATGAGCAGCTTCCCCCAAGTTAAGGTTTTGCCACACAGCCTGGCTGGCCTCTTCCTCCCCTCCTAGGTGTTGGAATTAAAAGCATACAGTAACATGCCAGGTGATCTTATTTTTAAATTGTATTTGTGTGCAGGAGCCTGTGGAAGCTAGAAGCTGGAGTTAACAGGCCTGGTAGTGTGGGTGACATGGTCTGAACTTAGGCCCTTTCCCACGCAGTCTTGGCTCCACTGTCTCATCTGCCCCCCACCCCCTGCTTTTCCTTTTGCCCAGGGTAGTTCTTGGTTGTGAAGGTGTAACCATTTAAAATGCCAGTTCAGTTTTAGCCCAAGTTCTTACTTCCTCTTTTGTGATCACTTAAAGTAATAGTCTTTTCCTCTAAAACCTGGCAGTCCAGTGTGCCTAGTACCAGTCTTTTAAGGAGTCATTGTTTACCATGTACATCTTGCTAAAGAAGCCATTTCTCAAAATTTAATTCTTACCCATTCTTAAAATTTTGAAACTCTATAAGTCTGCATTTATGTTAGGATTTGGGGGGGGGGGGGTGTCAGCTGTTTAAGACTGGACTGGGTATTGGCTCAGTGAGAATACTAACCTAAGAATTTGCAACTTTGAATTTCTGGGTTGAGGCCCAGGTAGTTTTTATCTTCTAAATTCAATTGATAAGGGGATAGGCATTAGTCAGTTGGAAAGCACTCTATCATGGAGGTATTACACACCTTCCAGTAGTTTGTCCAGCTCCACTTCGCTATGACCATTAATAACTAAGTTCTTGTGTTCCTAACAATGTACAGGTCTGCCCAATTCTGACCTTTACCTCAAAGTTTGGTCCCCTTTGGTTTACACCACAAATGAGTGGCACTGTGCCAAGGCATTGCGGCTCTACCCACTGTTTTTCCCCATTAGGATAAATGTCAATATAGTTGTTCCAGATAGGCATGAGATTAAAAAGTTGTTCCACATCTTGACTACTTTAGGACATAAGTTTATTGCCAAGTTTTCACATAAATACAAGCACAGTAATAAGTCCAACCATGTTTGTAGCTTCATCTAGTTCTAAAGTGTTACATATACATCCATGAATTATGGATTAGTTTGTATTTGTGGGGAAATCTTTACTATAACGTTACTGTACTGCTCAAAAGAAACAATATGAGCATTTCTTTTTATCTGGCAGATACAAAGCAATGTTAATTGTATGATTCCTAAATTCTTAGCTATTATACATTTCTCCAGCAAGTAGTCTCCTTCTGAAACACTTCAGCTTCTTAATTTCTAGTTTGAAGCTTCTGACAGTTTTGTTTTATGGGACACCAAAAGCCTGCATTTAAAATATTCAGTAGCGTTCACTCACTGGAATGACTCCTTTCAAAATGACTCCACAACACATCTGGTGCCAACACTATTCAAAGTGTGCTGCAAAAGATATGCCAAGTTAAATGATCTCTAAAGCCAGTACATGTTTCACTTCCTAAAGTGACCAACTCTTCCGTTTTACATATTTTAAAGCACAAATAGGATTATTGGAACAATTAAGCATCTTATAAAACCACAATCTTTCTAAAAATAATAAGTTGCAGTTTTATAATTTGGGTTCCCCCCCCCCTTTTTTTCTTCCGAGACAGGGTTTCTCTGTGGCTTTGGAGCCTGTCCTGGAACTAGCTCTGTAGACCAGGCTGGTCTCGAACTCACAGAGATCCGCCTGCCTCTGCCTCCCGAGTGCTGGGATTAAAGGGGTGCGCCACCACCGCCCAGCTATAATTTGGAATTTTTGAGAAGTGTTCAAAACATTAAGACAATAAAACACCTTTATCATGTACAAAGCTACAAGATTTAAAAATAACAACTGCATGACATACTACATGGATTATGGAAGGCATAACCTAGAGTTAATTCATAAAAAAACATGATCCATAGCCAAACTACCTTAGAAAAAAATCCAAATTGCACAGCCCATTTAACATAATGACAGTATTGTCCGTGACAATCATGTGCCTCTGTTGCTTCTGAGAACACAACATCTTGCGATATGAAAAGTGTGTTGATCTCGAAGACCTGGTTTTGCTCAGACAGCAGGGTTATAGCCTTAAACAAGCACTGTCCTGTCCTTAAGGAACAATCTAAAGGAGGAAAAAAAACAATAATTACTATTGTTGATTATATTTTAAGAGCCATGACAACATTCAAGTGGGACCAAATACGGTGTAGGCGAGAGGGCACTAAGGAAGGGATTCTTGAGATGTTCTGAAACCACTCTCAGTGACTTAACACTTGATCCAATTTCTGAATTCTTCCCTCAGAGAAAACTAGTAATCTAGTAGTTGCTCTGCTTTCAATTTTCTATAAGCCTATCACCACCTTATAGCACATTACATCTAGATCTCTTCAATGTTTCAATCAGAGCAAGGTAGTACAAAGATGGTAGGAATACCAAACACTAGACCAGTTTCTATACCCGGCCCCAGTTTGCTAGTATTACGTAAGAAGTTGATAAATCTCACTGAGCCTTCGTTTCCTCTACTGTACACAGACTGGTACCAAAGCCTCTGTTATGGCGAGTAGTCAGTTAAAGCCTAAAGGAGGACACTTAGTGCCCACTAATCCAGCCAAGAATGGAGTCTGGATAAGTGCCCCCCTTCAATGTCTAAACTAGCATACACTACAACAACAAAATCAAGGTCCTTGACTCCTAGAGTTGTGACCCAGCAAAGTGTTGTATAGCTAAGATTTCTTCCAGTCAAACTAGTCTTGTTCTTGGGATGTCCAACTATCACGTTCTAGACCAAGGGTGGCAGCCATAATTATACAGTTACACCAAACATAAGATGTACAAAAGGCCTTATCTTGCTCAAAATTAGAAAATTAAAAATTACAAACCCAACCTACCTTTCACATTAAGCACAAATGTTTAACATATATAGCAATTTTTGCCGAAAGAATGAAATCATACGGCACCACTTGATAGGAAACTAAGTTTATTTAAACCACCACACCTAGTATAAGAACAGGATAGCTAGCTGTAATGGTTAGTTCAGGGAAACCCAAGGAAATGCTTATGATCATAGACAGGAAGGCCTCAGTTTCCTCCATGAAAAGAGCATTAAGACACCTCAGTTAAGTATTAGATTCCTGCACAATACGAGCTTTGTTCTATATTTCATAGGCTTTAACTATCAATTGAAAACTTAGTTTCACAAACCATAAAATTTGTTTGGTTCTCAACTCTGCTTACTCACTGAAGAAATCCCCATTGTCCTTGATGGAAGAAACATAGTATTAGATAAAAAGTTGAAAAAAACATTATCTGAAATATTTTACTATCTGTGTGTGTGTGTGTGTGTGTGTGTGTGTGTGTGTGTGTGTGTAGATGGGTGTGAAAGACAACTTTGTAGCTTCTTAGTTGCTGTTTGCCTTGTCTTTTGAGATATGTTCTCACCAGCATGGAGCCTGCCAAGTAACTAGGCTTGTGTGGCCAGTAAGTCCTAGGGATACCTCAGACGTGCTCTAACATGCCTGGCTTTTTTATGCGGATTGTGGAGATTTAATGCAAGTTTTCATTGCTTGCAACACAAACACTTTACTAATTATAACCCAAGCCCCCTTAATATATTTAAAAGAATCTGACCCACATTTAGGTTTTCCCTTTCACTCAGTTTTTGTTTGGTTGTTTAAGAGGGAAGAAAAAACAGTTCAGGCCAGGCATGCATTCGTCACTTTTAACCCAGCACTCAGGAGGCAGAACTCTAAATACTGAGTTGCAGGCCAGCCAGAGATACATATTGAGTGAAATCCTGTCTCAGGAAAAACCCACGAAGTCATCATTTACAGTAAGCAAGTGAACATGAAAGGGCAGAATTTTAATCTGGCCTTGGCTACCCAGAATTTAAATTCTCTGGGCGTGAGACTGGAAAATCCGAATTAAACAGTAAGGCAACAGTTTCTGCATACTAAACCCCTAAGATCCCTGTCCTAAACACACCATACTTTAAGAAATGTTACATAGAAAACAAAGGCCTTTAGGGAGCACAAAACTAGGTATTATACACTCCCCATCTTGTAAAAAGAATTCCAAACCCCACCCCAGAAACCAAGATGCAAATCTCGGCAGCTGCCCTTAGAAAGTAAAAAGCCATGCCATTTAAACCAGCACAGGAAGTCATACATGTGGCAAACAAAAAGCTACATGGTGGGAAAGAGGCTTTAAAGAATAAGGAAGCCCAGAGTATCAAAAAGGGGTAGGGAGGAGTGGAATTAGGTTGACCAGCCACAGAGAAATCCAAATCCCATGGATGCTCCTAGGTACTGCCTCAATTATGATTTAAAGAAATCTCAGCTTCTTAAATTTTTTCAACAGGCTTTCTCTGTGTAATCCTGGCTATCTTGGAACTCACTCTGCAGGTCAGGCTGGCCTAGAAGAACTCAGAGATCCACCGCCTCTGCCTCCTGAGTGCTGGGATCAAAGGCAACTGCCACCACTTCCCAGCTAAAACACCAGCTCTAAGTTTTTGAAATCCAAATTAATCTGTACTTGCTTTATGTTTAATAATGGTTTGTAGGACTAGCTTTCAGCTTAGACTAAATGAAACACAAAAATAAAATACAATAAGCAACTTAAATAGGCTACCAAAAGTTCAATTCTTATTTCTTTGTTGTTAAGTGTAATAGAACATTATTAAAGTCTGCACTAGTCTTCTGCAACCAACAAGTTTGCAGCAATGGCTCCCCTGCCCACACTATTTACACTTCAAATAAAAATTAGTTCCTTGATAATATTTCCAAGCGCTTAACAAGTAATTTGGTTACTGGCTACCATACTGGAACAACAGAGTATCCACATCTCTGCAGTAAATTCTCATGGATTCTTAGAGAGTACACACACAACACCAAACCCAAAGATCAAGCTTCTCAAGTACATTTATGTCACTTACATTTCACTTGTACCTGGCTACAAGTCAAGCAATACAATAGGAACTTAGCAGACACCACTCGGTAAGACCATACCAAAGCAGCTCAGCAAAACCAGCAATAACATGAGGAATGTCATGAATCAAGCCAGAGGCCAGAAGAAAACACTACCTAAATAGGAAAGTAAAGACTCACAGGCCCTTAGGCCAGGAGACAACATCTGAACCTCAACAGTCTACATTCCAGAAGGAATCACCTTCTACAGACGTATACGTGACAAAATGTAAGCAGCAATCATTCCATGTGACCTAAGAGATTGTGTGTGTAGGAAATAATGAAATGAAAAAGTTGTCATTAGCTCATTAACGGTCTTCTGTATTGTACTCATGAATCCACTAAAGCATTAAGGAGTCAGCAAATTTCATGTCAATTCATATACCTTTTAATACCATCTAAGATAAGTCAGGTGATATTGGAGATCTCCATCTGTAGGCCAATAATAGGAAACAGTTCAGTTTATTAATGATGGGAAGAGACAAGCATTCATGGAGTGGGAAGAAGCCAAACTTCAGGTTAGATTCTCAATAAATCTATTGTAGTAAAGCTCCTGAAGGGGTGGGGATAGAAAAAAAAAATAAAGGCTAACAGTCAACAAGATGTGCTAAGGAGGAATAAAAACTGTAGGGTAAGGGCCCAGCTACAGCCTCAATTTGTGGTGTAACTAATCTGTCTGGTTTCATGACTCATCAGGCTTCTAAGATCAAGAGAGAAAGAAAGCCAGTGCTCTGTCTAGGGATTGGATAAGCCAGCACAAAAAAATGAAAAAAGGGACTAAAATGAGAGAGTGCTAAAATATCTTTTGGTAGGACTGCAGAGGGAGCAGGAGGGACAGAGTGAAGTACTGGGCTCTGTAGAAAAAAATGCTAAAATTCTGTTTATATATTCTAAGTTGCGATACTATAATTTCATGATATAGCAAGGATCTCAAGGGGGAGTATAACCTCGGGTGAGCATGCCTTTAATCTAACTCGATGAAAAATACTCCAAGGCAGATCATAAGCAATAATAACCTGTAGTTCTGCTGCATAAAACCCCAGGTGAGCGCCTAGTCTCCCATTTCTCTCCGTTGCCCCTATTACAATTACCTCCCGACACCAACGAAGCCTCGCCCCTCCAATTTTACACCTGTTCAAGTCCCCTGCAGGGCAACGCCCACGCACCAGTTTAGCCCTTAAGCCTGCCCAGAAGTCTCCCGCCCATCTTCCAGAAAGATCACGAGGGAGAGAGGGGGAAGGGATTCTTCCAGGCCCGGGGCGGGTCTTTAGAAGACGGGAGGCTGCAGGGAACTCCCAGAAAGGTATTGCGGCACTCCCCTCCCCTGCAGAGAAGGGTGCGGCCCTCTCTCCGCCTACTGCACTGCGGCTCCCTCACTGATTGCAGCTCCCACGAAATTTTAGAGAGCAAGCGCTTCCTGCTTCCAAACCGGCCCGACTGAGTCCCCCGCTCCTTCCTC